GACGCCAACAAACACATCAATCCTTCGCAACCCCCATGTGTCACCTTGCGAACAAATGATGTCAATTGCCCTGTCCTGATGCAGTTGGAAGCGATACTGATAGCCCTCATCGTTCAGCGAACGGCAATGAGTTGTGCGTCCTAAGGACGATTTCGCTTTTATTCCGTTGTGATGTCTGCCCACGCTTTCATGAGGATCCTGTGGGTGAAGCCCACGCCTTTGCGTCGTTGGTGGCTATGATGAGAAGGATGCCGTCGCTACATCTAAACGACATTTTGGTTCGGATCTGAATAGACACCATGCTGCTCATATAGCCCATTCAGCATTCTTCATGAGAGTCGAGTGTCTTTGAGCACTGATTCAGCTTTGTCTGTCATGCGGTAAAAATGTGATGCGCACAAGACATTGCCAGAACTCATATTTGAGTTATGCACGTTTGGTGGAGCCGAGCGGCGTATGCGGAATCGCAGTAAACAACCAGCCCCCAACAGCCCAGACTTCAAGGTCTCAGGATTCTTTAACGTCTGCTGTATCAGAAGTGGACTGTAATAATCGAGGACCTCATTGGTACTGTGGAACCTCGTTTCATAAATTGCCCGAGGACACGGTGTTAAAAACATTAATTACTCTTCAAAAGGTGATGGAAAACTGAATCGATATTCACATGACAATATATAAGCTTCCTCAAATGAAGTAGGATACGAGGATAACGTACATCAAGGCAGTAAACGTTTAGTGCGATGCCAATAACGAACGTACCTTGATCCATTTGAACTCTCGAACTGGAGAAGTGGCATCAATGGAAACACTTCTGAATTCCCAAGAACAAGGTCTTCTGGCAACTGAATTCAAATGCATTCAATTTTTAGCCTCAATTATTTGTTATTGGAACGGCACACAATTAATAAGTTGTTTTTCGTTCGAGATTCATAATTTAGTCAAGTCAAAACGAAGGCAGCAACTAGTTCGGATCAGTGTAGTAGAAATTGTTTAGTACAATAACTATTCAGTGAACCATTCTTGGGTCATCGGGACTAAGCTGATTTTGGTCAATCTTGAATTTTTGAAGGCAAGCAATTGGTGAACTCTGCTCCTCCCAGTAAATTTTACTAGTAGTCTATTCTTGATGAAATGTTCATATCCAACCTGCATCTATTCCATGGCACAGCATAGCTCTATTTCAGCTTGGACAGCAGCACGGTAGACCTTGTTATCGTGTCCTTCAAGTAAGGCTTGAGCAACGACAACGTCAGCTGGATCACACTCGGAGTTCTTGGGCTAGTGGCTGACAAGCTCCAGTTTAGCTTACATTCGGTGGGATCTTGAATTGAATGACTCCTTGATACTATAAAACCTTATGATTTGTAGCGAGCGAAAGTTGGACAGTGTAGTATAGAGTACGTCATCCCACGCAACACGCACTTTCCTCGCGGTGTCATCGATTGTTCTTGCGGTGAACTTCGCTTGAAGACTTTCTATAGTACGATGGACGATCAAGTCAAGCACAGTTCAAGTCGGGTGTGTTGGCTGCCTTGCAGAAAACAACGATGCATATCAATCAGGGTGCCTTGTGGACACAACGTCACAGGCGAATGATAGCACTAGCCAATCATATTGATTTATTCTAGTATTACGTACGCCGAGGCGAAGTGGTGATATTCACAACGGATAACGAAGTTTAGTGCCAGTGGCATATGATCACATCATCTGGTGAATGGCAGCGGGAAGGCGGGACTTGACAAATGAATCGCGCGGAGCGATACTTTGTGATACACTGCTGAAGAGTAAAGGCAGCTACTCTTCACGACTGCAAAGGGGATTTGATCTCTATCT